TCTTTGTTTTATACTTAGCAGTTCCAGTAAAACAAAGATGACATTCAACCTCATCAATAAAACAGTATGCTCCATATCACTCTCATCAAGTCCCTTTGAAAACCAGAGGAAGCAGGGATGCTGACTAAGCTAGGCAGCATCTGAATGCAATCATAATTTGTATATTTGTATTAACTTTTGATACATTTTAGGTTTAATCATTTTCTTTGCTTAGATATTTGATCAGATGATTTATGCAGATATACTGTTTTGTTTTGTTTTGAAGTGTTGGGTATGCACTGGTTTGTGGAGGCCAGTGGCCTACACTGGGTGTTTCCTTCAATCAATCACTTTATTGTTTGAGGCAAGGTCTCTCCTTGAACCTGGAACTGACTTGATTAGCCATCTTTTGTCTGCCTTTCCAAGCACTCATTATCCATGAATTCTAGGGATCACACTCCAGTCCAAATGTTTGTGTTGTAACATTTATTGACATTATGTAACATTTAGTAGCTTCTTGCTTAGATTTTTTAAGTTCAATTGATAAACCGTTTAATTGTCTTTGCTCAAATGAATGAAACTGAAAGAGAGTTCAAGTGCAGCAGCATGGTCATCCTCTGTCCATCCTCAACACTGCTGTAAGAGTCTATGTTTCCATGACATTTCCCCATCAGAATCTCTAGTGCTTCCTCTGTGACTACTCTGAGAGTAAAATAGTACTGTGAATAAAAGTACTTAGATTATAGCAAGTGTGTGTGTGTGTGTGTGTGTGTGTGTGTGTGTGTACATAGATAGATAGATTGACAGACAGACAGACAGACAGACAGATAGATTCTTTTCCTTACTACAGCTGCTACCTTAAGAAAAAAAAACTTTTTTTTTTCCTGGCAGAAAACTATATGTTCTCATTTCTTTAAGATGGACCAACTAATCATGATTGTGGTATATTCTATTATCTAAACTTCACAGCATGACAAACAATAGAAATATAAATTCTGAATTAGTTTATTCTAGACCTGTTCCCTGATATCTTCTGCCAAAAGCACAGGTTCTTCATTTACTTGAAGCAGGAATTCCCTACTTTTCCAGGTGCCAGGTTTGATTTCATTTTCTTAATATATTTAGGTGAGTATAGCAATATTAATATGAAACATGAAAAAGCGATATCACAACTTTATGTAACAATTATATAAACATTATTTACAGAGTTAAAAAAAGCAAACCCTCTGCTAAGGGTATTCAGATAATTAAAGCATTCCATTCATAATTCTGGCACCTGAGGGAACTATTCCAGTGGTTAATTTTATGACTTGCAAATATGATATTTGGTATCTTGTGCTAATCTTGATGAAGTGAAATATAAATATTCAGCCTGGTCCCTACATTGGGAGAGGAAAAAAGAAACAGCTCTTGTAATTGTAATTTAAAAAAATCTTAATCATCATTATAGTGTGTGTGTATGTGTGTGTGTGTGTGTGTGTGTGTGTGTGTGTGTGTGTGTCCATGCTCTGTAAAGGCCTTCCTCTCCTCCCACCTCTACATGGGACCTGGGGATTAAACTCAGGTTACCAGGCATGAACAGCAAGCATCTTTATCCAATGAGCCACCTCAACAGCCTCCACTTGTACTTCTCTATGGGAAGGAAAGCATAAAGCAAGAACAATATGCCCAAAGGGATTTTGAGAAGCAGGGGCTGAATTGATACTTAGTCACATGCATGCATTTAGTAAAGGTCCCTGTAATGGCCTCCCTAAGTTCGGGGATTCTCTCTTGACCTGCCATATTAAATGTACAATCTTCAGCTTCCATCATTTGATTTCATATTCCTCATCTACTTCATAAAAGTCAAAGGAACTACAAATCTTGACTTGAGCCCCATAGGCTGACTTCATAGAGCTGATATCCCGTGAACCTGCAACTTTCCTGTGGATGATGTTTCTTCTAAAGTTGCTTAGAAACTGCAGGTTCCCTGGGTCTATTCTAGTGGTGGCAGTCAGTGGCAAGGCTGCTCTTTGCACAGTGGCCCTTGTGGTATACAACACAAAACATTTGCCCTTAATTTTGCCTGCATGTTCCAGTATTGAACCTTCTGAGAACAATCAGACATTATAAGAAAGAGAAAAACAGAGACACAGAGAACTTTACAACACACACACACACACACTTGCACAGTTGTGCCCACAACAGTTGGTATCTGCACTAGAAATCTTCAGTTATAGTCAAAATATCCAAAGCCAGGAAATTGGTTAAACTGTGAAATAGTCATATGATGTTTGGCTGATATATGGATACTAATGAAAATGATTCAGTACAGGTACAGGATGTGAATATGGGATATTTATGCATAAAGAAGGACAGCAGTAGAATTAGTTTCCAATAACAGAAAGTGTTTGATCCTAGAGCCTTAATATATAAACATATTTTCACCACATGCAAAACTGTTACCTTGATACCACTTTCTTGGCTGCCATTGTACTCTACTATAACCAACTAGACTCTAGTCCTTGCTTCCCTGGACCTTGTTCATCATTTCTTCTGTGCCTCATCCATCTATGCAATGAATTTCATGGCCAAAACCAATGAGTGTTTATCTTACTGAAGGAATAATCCTCATCTACCCAGGGGGGATTAGAATTCCTTTATCTAAGTCAAATCCTGTGTTTCCCTCCTCCTCTCCTCCTCCTCTGTCATCTTTCCCTTGCTTAGTAACTAAGGGACCACATATATCAGGGATGCTTTTCCCTAACCCTCTTTTCCCTCTGGATCATTTCCATAGGTCTTCAGTTATTCCTTGATAGAAATGATCAGCCATTATGCTTTACTGATTTGGAATTCTAAGTCCCTTTTTCAACCCTAGGTTCCATGGTGCTTTAAATTGTAATCATGTCTAGACTTTCAACTTTTTACATGGTATCAACTCTGCTTTTCGAGAGAATATGTCTTTCAAAAAAGCCAAGAAAGGGGATCATTGGATACATCTGTGTGTTATTAACCCTGTAATGTTCATCTGTTCTTATGTCCATGTGCTAATGACTGTCTCAATTCTCTAATTTCCTGTCTATCCACAGGGGTCTACCTCGGAGACATCTTCATTTTCTGTCTTGGGCTATTTTATAAAAGGTTCTCAAAACTCCCAAACTCCTAGATGCTGTGTTTTAATAAACCTAACCCTTACCTAGTTCCTTCTTGCATAAAAACCTTCTCCACAGAATCATAACTATTTAGAGAATGGAACTTGTACCTCCTCAGGTAGCTCAGTGATTTTTAAGTTATGATCATGACAGTGTGCTCAGTCTCCTTTAAGTAATACTCAGATATATGAGCTTCTCTTACAGTGTGGTATCTAAGGACAATGTAAACCATCTGAAAATACTGAGAACTCAACAGTCTCCTGGTAAAGCCCCCCTGTTCTATAAACAAAGCATGGCATTGAGCAGATATTGGGGATAGACATCCTATGCATTTACAGTCAGTTCAAACTCTTAGATTTTTCTATGAGTTTTAAATTATCCCAACTTCTTAATTACACTCCCACAAAAGACTCTGAACTCAGAAAACAATAATCTGGAGCTACTGTCAGAACTCCTCTCTCATTGACTATGTGTAGGACTGAACACATCATAATCTAATTAGCAACAGCCTTGTGCTACAAAAGAATCCAATGATATATTTGTCCCAGTCTATAGAGAACAAGGAGTAGAGATCCCGATCCTGAACAAAGTGTGTGAGGAAAGACAAGGATGAAATCAGAACATCTAAAGAGGAAGGTGATCCTTCTGTGCCCTTAAAATGAACCTGGACTTACTGTAAGCAAAGGCAGCATTCTTCGAGGTGGGTCAAGAAATACCAGTTCTGAGATAATAACAGATATTAAGTAAAATCCAAAACAAAATTAAGGCAAAATATTGCAGTGCCTTAAATTTCCAACTGTGAGCTATGGTTTTTCACACAACAAAATTCTTGCAGGAGGCCCATGAGAAGACCACATTTCATTACTTGAGCCAGTCAGTAGACTTGATAGATCTTGGTAGATCTGGGCGGGGGGGGGGGGGGGATGTAGAGTACTTCCTTTGAATTTATCTGGGGAGATCCCAAAGCTTTCAGTAAAGGTACTGGAAAGCTAACAACAATGACTGCAGGTGCAGTCATTTTCTCAAGAAGAAATTCAGAATGAGTTCCTCATGTACAAAACTTAGGGGATAACCTTCTAGATCCAACACTACTTAGGGCCATCTGGATATTCCTTCGCTTAGCTCTGAATGGATAAAAATCTAGAAAAGCATGACCACATCTTCTAAACATTACCCTGGGCAATGGAGACCAGTGATCCACAGGCTAATGTGGATGCACTAAACAGATGGTATAATCTTAAGATTATAGTATGATAGTTAAGTAAAATGCTGAGGGAGGGATGGACTGTCTCTGTACTGGAGAACTAATCTCCATCCTAGTACCTTTCCCATTTATTTGTCATGAAATATGCTGGCAAAACCAATTATTATTAGAGTCCTTAACTTAAAAATTCACACTAAGCAATTTTCTAATTTGAGGAGGCAAACATTAGGACTGGAAGCATTTAACAAATACAAACTCAAGCAAAGAACTGAAGTTTGGCGACACACACACACACACAAGATGCCACAGAACTTTCACAACGACACTCTGCTTTTTGGAAAGCGATATGTAGCTCAGAGCACATACATATAATTCACTCACAAGTACAGCACACACATGATCACTCTGGGAACAGCCCGTCACTACACACTGTGCATCAACTAAGTGCAACCATCTAAATTATTACAGCACAGATAATACTTGCCCTCCCTTTCTCAATAATTCTCTCTCAAGGAATGGCTTTCTAAAAAGGAAGAAAAAACAAATTCATAAGAATTCATGAATTCCAAGATAAAATAACAATAATCAAATACACATCTGAAATTAAAAACACATATAAGAACATTTCAAATATGAGATTTTCTTGATAAGACAGAAGGAAGACATTTAAGACATTTTAGAGATACCTGTAAAATGTGGCTTCCCAAATGTGCTTCAAATACTTCAATGGCTAGTGCACTGGGGCTTCGCCTTCGCTGTGCACCTATAACTTGAAAGAAAGAGAGAGAGAGAGAGAAGAAGAAGAAAAATAATTAAGTTGGGGTTCTGATTTCAAACTTTCAGCTTAATCTCTCTCTATTTGCATTACCACTCTGCCACCTCACCAATGAGTTCTGGAAGAAACACTACCCACTATCAGTTTGGGTTCTGAGTTGTATCTACAAACCTAAAACAAACAATTAACCCCTCCAAAAACCTCCAAACTTAAAATTTGACCATTTAGATAGATTTTCTTATACTGAGGTAAAACACACAAACATTCTTAGTCTCAGAACAAATGAGTACAGTGTTTTGTTTGTTTGTTTTTTTATAAATTACAACATTGCTATTTTTAAGAACCGATAACAATAGCCTCTGTCCCCGCTAGAGCAAGATAAACTCTTATGAATCTAATATTTTCTAATGTACATGTTCATCACAATTTAGAAACAGTCATGTGTCAGATGAGAGAGTTGCTATAAGGATCATTTACTCTGGTGAGTTATGTCAAGAAGAAGGACTTCCATATCGCTGAGCACTCATGTAACAATGCTACAAAGCCAGCAAGGAGCTCAGATGGCCCCTGGCCAGCATGCACTTCCATCAATGGTTGTCTCTGGTCTGGAGATGCCAATCACTGTTCTTCCTGAGGATCAGCTTGCTGGCCCCTGCCACTCAAGATGACCTCATAACAAAAGTGCAACCTAGACACTGCCTGGATGGAACCAGGAGGTGAGGGTCCTTTCTTTCCCGGATTTTAAGTGTGCAGTGCCGTCTGCTGTTCCATGGGGTGTTTATTCTTTCTTCTAGGACCTCATGTATCATAAACACCTGTTTGCTTTACAGAGACTTAACAAAGGACATGTTCAGAGCTTTTCCACATATCTGTCAAGAAAGATTCCCCATGTCTTTCTGCCTCTTCACATCCAGGTACTAAATGAAAACAAGGTCAAAAGTCCTTGCTTTCTTACTGCTAAAACCTCTTTCAGCCAGTAGACAAGATAGTTCTGCAAAATGTCGCTGGAGAAATGCCACTTCATTTGGGTTATCAACACCAGCCCCTCCTACCAAGAGCTGAGTAGGAGCTACAACACAAATGCCCTCAAGATTATTGTGCCCTGTAGACACAGGAAGCCTACTGTAATGATCAAGAGGAAGTATTTGAAAGACACATTGAAAATAGCATGAACACCAAGTGCCATTATTGCTGCAAGAGAAAAAGTAAAGAGATGTTTTCTCAATGGAAAAAAAAATGTATACAATATAATTGAAGAGTGATGATTATTAGATATTATTCCAGCTAGAAACTAGTCCCATATCCCCATTTCCCTCAGAAGTAAAACTTATACCTAATAATTTTCAAATGGGAAAAGCTGCAATTCTATGGTGAGATTAATCTTTATCATAGGTGCAGACATAGGATTTTACTTTTTCATATTTAAATATCTTTAAGTAGCACTGCTGTGTGTGTGTGCATGTGCTTCTGATTAATTTTCTATTCTAACATGCACATTACTCCCTTCAAAACTCCGTTGGCATTTTTGATAATGCAGCTGTCTTGCTGAATACTGTTTTCAGTTTCTAGAGTGTTAATTGCACATTATGGTAGCTTGGTGTGAATGATCCCACATGAATAAAATCTGCAGCCTTTTTTTTTTTTTTTTTAAGATTATGGGGATGGGTGGTTTTTAGGAGGGAGAAGAGGAGAGCTGAAAAACTTCTAAAATGTCCACTCCCTTTCTGAGGCAGTAATTATGATTCAGAGTTTATTAATAGTTCAGGGTTTGGGGAGATTTTCGATTTCCAGGCTCTGGAAATAAATAACTGCATGCCATTTAAAGAAGGATTAATGTTAGACTTTGGATAACATGCACTATACTATGAATAACTCAATAAGGTGGGGTTGAAAGTGTAACAACCACTGACATTAGAGAGATCTCCGGCTACCCAGGGAATGCAAGGAAGCCTTTATTTACTAGAAGGCCCACAAGGCAAGCTCTAGCAACAACAGATGACAGTTCAAATGCTTCTAGAAGCCCAGAAACAGTTGTCTTGAAGAACATGCAGGGATTATGTAAGGCTGGCTTCCGCCGGCCTTTCCTTTCCTCCTCTCCTCTTCCTTCACCAGTGTTCATGTTGTTCTACAAATGGATGTCTTCATCAGGTCTCGAATCCTTGACTCTGACCCAAGGAATTATTCTTTGTTCTCCAAATCCTCGGAAGCCTCAGTGTGCATCCCAGCATACACTAGAATAGCATAATATACCAGTATCCTGTAAGTGGTTTCATGCTATTCTACTCAATGGCGTTTTTATGACACTGGAACTTCTCTTGATTTATCTGTTTTGCTCTTATGCAGGTGATGTGGGGCTGTAATGACAGCTCCTAATTTTACAACCAACATAAATATGTTAAACAGGAGCCCATTATGCCCCTAGTAGGAGCCCTGCTTTAACTCTGGCATTATTGGTGACTGAATGGATGTTAAATATGGACTTCTGCACTTCTCCTCTGGTACTCAGCATTTTGAGAATCGGTGGGCTTATAACACTGGGACAATGGAAACAGTTATTTTTTTTTTCTGCATTAATGTTACTGGGTTTGAAAAGTATCATTAATGCCAAAAGGAACTAAAAGGCATGACCTTAGCGAGTTCTACTGTCTTCAGAATAATAATCTGCTTTATGTATATGTCCCTGTTCCCTCTAAAAGGCTACACTTTCCAAGTGCATTTGGTATCACCCACACAACAGTGTCATGGTACTAGTTTTGTTTTTTGTTTTTTTGTTTTTCCATTCCACATGCTGATAAACTTCATTTATTAGCTTATTTTATTTAATTGACTACATTTAAAACTGAAAATTAATAAAAAAACACTCATAAGCAGGACATCACTAAATAAATGGAGACTATATTCCATTGTGAAGATTGCCACTAAGTCACAGAGAGGAGGGATGGATAGTTTGAACAGCATACACAAACTACTCAAAGGAAGCATGCATACCACCTAACTTAAAACACTACTCAACATCTGCTAAGTGCCCATTGGATGCTGAAACTCTCTCTAGCTAGGAAGTGGGGTTGGGGCTCAGTAAACAAATACAAGACAATCTTGTGTTGCTTAAGACCAGGCCTAGCATAAAATTACCCTTAAAAAGTGCACTACTATCTCATATTTTAAAGAGGCTAAAAAGGCAGCACCCAGAGCTTTAGAGAGTTTTAAAAGGAAGACATGTACAGGGGAAATAATTATTGTTTATTCTTTCAAAAAAATCAGCTTAGGAAAGCCTGGTCTTGGCCTTCAGAAATCCAGTGTGAGATGCTGTGAGGACAAGGCATTCGGCCTAGCTCTCACCAGAAGGTAGATGGCATCTGGGAAACCACAGTCTAAAACACAGACTTAAAAAATTAGTTTTGCCCTCAAGAATGCCATCCAAAATATTCTACCCTAGATCCAGTTACAACCACACATGGTAGTCTCTAAGAATTAATTCAGTGGGGGGAGTGTTTCAAAATATACCCCACCTGCCTAGTCATGTTCTGAACTGGTGCTCCAGGCCTCCAGGGACAAAGTGAGGAAGGCTGGGGATTAGCACTCAGTGGGAGTTTGACCTATTCAACCAAAAGGTCAACTTGCCAAGGAAGAATCCATTAGAAGTAGAAACAGGACAGCTCAGTAGAAGATACACATAATGAAAGGAGAGAAGTCTTGGGCTCTGGTTGCCCCCAGGCCTGTTTTGCCCTTTTCCTCTGCATGCAGGGCCCTTACCAGCATAGTTCATAATGCAACGGGCAACCACAGGCAGGGAGATGCAGAGAGCCTGCTGCCAAAGGCAGGGTTCGCTCAAGAAAGGAGAAAGATCTTCCACAGTGAAGAGTGTGACACAGGGTAAAGTAGGCACTGGTAGACAAGAAGTTCACTCAAAGTCCACCTCACCCCATTTCCTAATTCTGTGATCCAGAGTCCAAGGCCAATGCTGTTCTACTGGCAACATCATAAGAATGGATTCTTCCACCTGGAGAAAAGGCAAGCTTTGTACCTGGCCACTTCCCATGGCTACCCTCGGAATCCTACATGCTGGGAGCAATGTCTGTTCCCACACCTACCCAACTGGGGGAAAGGAGGCCCAAAGGATAAGCTTAAAGGCATCTCCTAACCTCACTTCCTGAGGTGTAGCACTTGGGCTCAGCAAAGCGAGGGTCTTCAAGAGAATGGAGGACAAAATGCTTAATGAGTCTTCCCACCATGGCTACCAGGGACAGAAAGGAAATTTCCCTTGACCTGGAAGAGCAGGGGAGCCGGAAAATGTTTTCTGTGGGGCTATAGTTATTTACAAGATACAGATTTGCGTGTGCATGCGTGTGTGTGTGTGTGTGTGTGTGTGTGTGTGTGTGTGCTTCTGTCTGTCTGTGTGACTATTGAGAAGTTCCACTATCTTCATGTTAACATTAAACCAAATCCCAAGTCTGAATGTAGCCCACACAGTTCTGCCAAGTGTCTACAACCTCTTTCGCTTAACTAACATCTTGGGTGTTTTGAGTATGCCTTACTCACAGGTAATTACCAGTTTGGAGAAAGGGCACAGGGACACAATTCAGTAGCACATTAACTCACAGCACTGCTATAACTAAAACTGCAACTGTAAGGCCAGGCGCACTATGGAAAACATGTAGAGTTCTCATGCTGTGCATCTGGTAAATACTGAAAACAAATACTCATAAGGTTCTCCCAAGGAGCTCTCACCAAGATTACTTGCTGCTATTTAAACTTTAGGCCAGAGAAGAAAAACAGCTATCACATTGTTAATTGTGATACAATTATTAATTGAAGGCACATTTAAGAATAATTCTAAGAGCTGGACATGGTGGTACAAACCTTTAATCCCAGCACTCTGGAGGCAGAAGCAGAAGATCTCTATGAGTTTGAGACCAGCCTTATCTATATAATGAGTGTCAGGATAACCAGGGCTACACAGAGAGACTTTGTCTCAAAACATAATAATAAAACAA